TCGGTAATGCTTCGTTCAGTTACGTATTGCTAAGGTATCTGGTTAAGGTAGAGTCAGTGTAAGGTTATCTCTAACTGGTGTTAAGTGAAGGTATCTGGTTGGGGTAGGTCAGTGTAATATTGACCCCTAACTGGTGTTTAATTGGATGTATTGAGTTAAAGTAGTCTCGTCTCTAACAGGTGTTAGGAGTGAATTATCTAGTTAAGGTAGAGTTCAGTGTAGTTAAGATGTTATATTTGGATTTGATTTACAGTCTAACATCTTCACTGGAGACATTAACTGTACGACCCTTTGTGAGCTGCCAGGTGCTGGTTGTGTTCACTCGCCACACACCGCAGTATCATGTGTTGGGTTGTCTCACCACTCAGTTGTGCGTGTGTGTGTTGTAAGTTTATCCTCTGCTTTAAATATTGAACTCTAACTCATTAACCACAGCCACGGCAACTGTGTACGTCAAAACTTAGATACTGTAAATAACTTTTAATAAAAATTCTTCTTAAATGTAATGCTAACCTAACATAAGAACATAAGAACATAAAATGGAGAAACTGCAGTGGGACTATTGTTCATACTGGGCAGTCCGTTTACACCCAACCCTATTGCTCATATATCCATCAACCTATGCTTGAAACTATCAGCGTGTTCGAGTTAATGATGATATTGGTAACAAAACCTAACCTAATCACCTTAATCAAGCCTAACCATCGTATGCTAACCTAACCTAACAAAACCTAACCAACCTAACCTAACCCCTCATGTAGCGTTAGGGCGTTTGAATCATAGGGAAATAAATAGGGAAGGGACGGGAAGGGTCGCTGATGGGGTAAAATTCAGGTGACCCCACACGGAACCCTCGCTGCCCACAAAAACTCCCTCTCGCTGCCCACAAGACCCCCTCGCTGCCCTAAGGCCTCCCGCTGCCCACAAGACTTCCTCGCTGCCCTGGGCTTCCTGCTGCCCACAAGACCACTCTCGCTGCCTACAAGAAACTCCCTCGCTGCCCACAAGACCCCCTCGCTGCCCTGGGCTTCCCCTCATGCCCACAAGACCCCCTAGCTGCCCACAAGAACCTTCGCTGCCCACAAGACTTCCTCGCTGCCCACAAGACCTCCTCGCTGCCCACAAGACCCCCTCGCTGCCCACAAGACCCCCTCCTGCCCACAAGACCCTCGCTGCCCTAGACCCCTCGCTGCCAACAAGACTTCCTTCGCTGCCCAGAACCTGCTGCCCACAAGACCCTTGCTGCCCACAGAACCTTGCTGCCCACAAGACCCCTTGCTGCCCACAAGACCCTCGCTGTCCACAAGATCCCCTCGCTGCCCACAAGACCCCTCGCTGCCCACAAGACCCTCGCTGCCCTCAGACCCCTCGCTGCCCACAAGACTTCCTCTTTGCCCACGAGATCCCTCGCTTCCCTAGACCCTCGCTTTGCTTACAAGAACTCCTGGCTGCCTGCAAGACCCCCCTCGCTGCCCAAGACCCCTTCGCTGCCCATAAGACCCTTCGCCCAAGATCTCTCGTCCACAAGACTTCCTCGCTGCCCACAAGACTTCCTCGCTGCCCACAAGACTTCCTCGCTGCCTAGACCCCTAGCTGCCCTAGGAGCCCTTCGTGCCTAAGACCCTTCGCTGCCCTAGAGACTTCCTCGCCTTACAGACTTCTCGCTGCCCACAAGACTTCCTCGCTGCCCACAAGACTTCCTGCTGCTCTACAAGACTTCCTCGCTGCCCACAAGATCCCCTCGCTGCCCACAAGACCCCCCTCGCGCCCACAGACCCCTCGCTTCCTGAATCCCCTCGCTGCCCTAAGACTTCCTCGCTGCCACAAGACCCCCTCGCTGCCATAAGACCCTCTTCTCTACCTACAAGATCCCTCGCTGCCCACAAGACTTCCTCGCTGCCTACAAGACCCCTAGCTGCCCACAAGACCCCTCGCTGCCCACAAGACCCCCTCACTGCCCACAAGACTTCCTCTTGCCCAGAAGACTTCCTCGCTGCCCACAAGACCCCCTCGCTGCAAGACCCCTCACTGCCCACAAGACCCCTCGCTGCCCACAAGACCCCTCTTTGCCCACAGGACCCCCTTACTGCCCACAGACCCTTCGCTGCCCACAAGACTTCCTGGCTGCCCACAGACCCTCGCTGCCCCAAGACCCTCGCTGCCACAAGAACCCTCGTTGCCCACAAGACCCTCGCTGCCCACAAGCCCTTTGCCCACAAGACCCTCGCTGCCCACAGACCCCTCGCTGCCCCAAGACCCCTCGCTGCCCACAAGACCCTGCTGCACAAGAACCCCTGGCTGCCCAAAGATCCCTCTTTCCACAAGACCCTCGCTGCCCACAAGAACCCCTGGTTGCCCACAGACCCCTTCGCTGCCCACAAGACTTCCTCGCTGCCCACAAGACCCTAGCTGCCCACAAGACCCTTCGCTTCCCACAAGACCCCTGCTGCCCAAAGATCTCCTGCGCTGCCAGACTTCCTCGCTTCTTACAAGACTTCCTCGTTGCCCACAAGACTTCCTCGCTTCCCAAGACCCTGGCTGCCCACAAGACCCTTCGCTGCCCACAAGACCCCTTCGCTGCCACAAGACTTCCTCCTTTGCTCACAAGACTTCCTCGCTTCCACAAGACTTCCTCGCTGCCCACAAGACCCCTGGCTGCCCACGACCCTTCGCTGCTCACAAAGATCCTCGCTGCCCACAAGATCCCCTCGCTGCCATGAGACCCCTCGCTGCCCACAAGACCCCTTCGCTGCACTAGGAATCCCTCGCTGCCCTCAAGACTTCCTCGCTGCCCACAAGACCCCTAGCTGCCTCTGCAAGACCCCTCGCTGCCCACAAGACCCCTAGCTGCCCACAAGACCCCTCTGCTGCCCACAAGACCCTCTGCCCCAAGACCCCCTCTCAAGACCCACAAGACCCCCTAGCTGCCCCATAAGACCCCCCTCGCTGCCCACAGAATCCCCTCGCTGCCCACAAGACCCCCTCTCGCTCCACAAGACCCCCTCTGCTGCCCACAAGACCCCTCTCTGCCCACAGAAGACCCCCTCGCTGCCCACAAAGTCGCCCTCGCTGCCCACAAGACCCCCTTGCTGCCCCAACAAGACCCCCTCGCTTCCCACAAGACCCTGCTGCCCACAAGACTTCACTGCCCATGCACAAGACCCCTCACTGCCCACAAGATCCCCTCACTGCCCACAAGATCCCCCGCTGCTCTGCCCATTAAGATCCCCTCTCTGCCCACAAGACCCCTCTCGCTGCCACAAGACCCCTCGCTGCCCACAAGACCCCCCTCGCTGCCCACCCACACCCCCCTCGCTGCCCACAAGACCCCCTCGCTGCCCACAAGACCCCCTCGCTGCCCACAAGACCCCCTCGCTGCCCACCACCTCTATTGTGTCAAGTTCCAGGAAGAGTCGTAACTTTAGCTCATAAAAACAAAGACTTTATAACGACACGAACGACCCGCGTGCAGTAGTGACTCACGAAATGATTCACGTACGACACTTCAGCAATATTGACTAACGTACGACCCTTCAGCAATAGTGACTCGCCAACTGACACAGGGACGACCCTTTATCAATGACTCACGTACGACTTTTTAGCAATAATGACTCACGTACGACCCTTCAGCAGTAGTGACTCACGAAATGACTCACGTGACCGCTTCAGCTGTAGTGACTCACGAAATGACTCACGTACGACCCTTCAGCAGTAGTGACTCACGAAATGACTCACGTACGACCCTTCAGCAGTAGTGACTCACGTACGACCCTTTATTTGATTGAATAGTACGGGGTTTTTTTTGGGTGGGGGGGCACCCCCCTACATCCTTGTGTAAGGTGAAGCACAGAAGCGTTTACAGCGCCCAGCAGGGAAGCATGCTAAGTTCATGCTTGCCTTTATGTCTCGTGAGTCAAGGGCGTAGAAGCCTGAAGAGTCAAGGGCCAAGAAGCCTGAAGAGTCAATGGTTTAAGTCATCAAGTTATTGGAAGCTCCAACAACTTTCCCTGAATACTAATTCGCAACTTTCGACTTACACCAGGTACCTACTTTACTGCTAGGTGAACAGGGACTAATGGGGGCTAAGAAGTATGTCCAAACAACTTCCACTGGCCCGAGAATCGAACCCGTGACATCTCGCTTGCACGGCAAGAGCGGTACCGCTCTACCACCAGCGCCCCTTAAATCAATCTATACGGTGACCTCATTCCCACAGGTCAAGGGTCATTTACTGTGTGTGTGTGTGTGTGTGTGTGTGTGTGTGTGTGTGTGTGTGGCGTGTGTGTGTGTGTGTGTGTGTGTGTGTGTTAAAGAAAAGGAGACGGAGGAAGGAAGGTGACGGGAGGAAGGAGGAAGGAGGAGACGGAGGAAAGGAGACGGGAGGAAGGAGGAGAGAGGAAGGTGACGGGAGGAAGGAGGAGAGAGGAAGGTGACGGGAGGAAGAGAGTTAAGGTTAATGTTTATTTAGCCAGAATAATACATTTACCAGGGTGAACATCGAGAATGTTGTTGTCCCGTGTTTGCCGCCCCGTGTTGCCACCCGGTGTTGTGCCCTGTTGTGCCACCGGTGTTGTCCGGTGTTGTGTTACTTGCCCGTGTTGCTGCCCTGTGTTGCCGCCCCGTGTTGCCGCCCGTGTTGCTGCCCCACGTGTTGCCGCCCGTGTTGCCGGTGTTGTTGCCCCTGTGTTGTGTTGCTGCCCTGTGTTGCCACTCCGCCCTGTGTTGTTGCCCTGTGTTGCCACCTGCAGTTGCTGCCCTGTGTTGCTGCCCTGTGTTGCTGCCCTGTGTTGCCATCCGGTGTTGCTGCCCCGTGTTGCTGCCGCTGCCCCTGTGTTGCTGCCCTGTGTTAGTGCCGCCCTGTACAGCGCCCTGTGTTGCTGCCCGTGTTGTCTCTGTGTTGCTGCCCCGTGTTGCCGCCCCGTGTTGCCGCCCCGTGTTGCCACCACACACGGTCTCCTCTTACTACACTCCCTGTAAACAACAACAACAACAACCACCGCCACCACCAACAGACCAGGTGAAGCCTTGTGCCGCCACAGGAACCACTGTGGTCATTGATGTAATACTATACCATCCCCACCTGGCCACACTACACCACACCTGGCCACATTACACCCAACCTGGCCACACTATTCTTCAACCACACGTGGCCACACTACCCCTCAACCACACGTGGCCACACTACACCACACCTGGCCACACTATTCTTCAACCACACGTGGCCACACTACCCCTCAACCACACTACACCACACCCAGGAAACACATCCGGCTTTATTAAGTATTCTAAAGAGTGTCGGTAAAGTCCCTGTACACCTGCCATAATTACAGTACCAATCTAGTTAATCTTAATTATAGCTACCTTGTTATAGACCTTCTTCTACTTACAGTAAATAAAATAAATGTTCAAAGTAATGTTGCAAGTATATACAAATTATATTAATAATAATAGGTAGATAAATGTGGACATGGATAATAATGACCACCTATACTAGTACAGGTGAACAGGAACTTTTGGATCACTTGTGTATATGTCTGTAGTATGTTGTTTAATTATAACAGGTTCACTTTCCTTGAGTACAATGACTTACCCTCATGAGTACAATGATATAGCTTTAAGCTCTTGAGTATAATGACTTATCCTCTTGAGTACAATGATATAGCTTTAAGCCCTTGAGTACAATGACTTATCCTCTTGAGTACAATGAAAGGAGTCTACCTGTGATTAACCTGCCCAGGGGCCGGATACTCAAAAAAATTTATGGGACTGTATGTCGTTGCGTACCCCGTAACTGGACTTACAGTCTCAGATCGGTATACTCAAAACACAGATGGTATACTCAAAACCATTATTTGACATCGAACTCCGTAAGTTAACGCAAGTAACTTACACCAGCTCCTGAGGTTTGTAACACTCTCAACCCGGATGTAGTAGCGACTAATTCCCGATTGTATAGAAAATAATAATAATATATGTTGTAATAATGCTTGTTAGACTTGTTTTATCATAGAATAATGAAGAAAATGTTTTGTACATCAACATACTGAAATATAATATTTCACTTTGTCTTTTTTGTTGCCATAATAAGCGGCTTGAGTGTTTGTGTTTGTCTCAGTTTGGAAGAGACGCATCTTTTGTCTTCTTACACATTATAAAGTATTTCTTACCAAAATAAAAGGTTTGTATTGTTCACACTTAGGGTAAAAATATGTTTTATGACTGAGTAAACTTGCAGATGGAACTTATTAATGTTGTATGGCCGTAAATATCCCTCAGTAATGAAAGCCAAATATGAGGTCAAGTGAACATTCCTGCCAAGACTTCGCCTTGTTTTTCTAATATTCAACCAATAGCCTTAGCCTATTTTCTTATGTATATGGCTTATGATAACATGAAAGGCTATAAATTTCCATAGGCTAGCCAAAATTAAATGATAGGCTTAAAATATGGATTGCAATTAACTTGATTAATAGGGGCCTATATAACTGCTTTTTCAGTCTTAGGCAAATAAATGTTTAAATGTGGGGCCTACTTAATTTAGTTAGAACATGAGGATTATTTAAATAAGAAATTATACTAATAGGGTATAGGTTAGATAGATAGGTTTGGTTATGTTATGTTATGGTATGTTAGGTTAGAGAATGTGTACATGGTTTTTTGGTGAGCGTCAGGCCGTCAGTGAGACACTTTGTCTAGCAGCTACCTTAGGCCTAGTTCCAGACTTTCCTTGAACATTATCATAGGTAGAGTATTAATTTAAGAAAATTTACGGCTAATCCGATATATTTTCAGGTTTTAAATTGTTGTTTTTTGTATGAACTTGAAGACAATTCAGACCAAATGTTCCCAACATTGAAAGGAAAACACCAGGGTCTAGGCTAAATGAGTAATTTAAGAGAAGTGATTTGTCATTTAGGTTAGGCAAGGCTATACTATCATTAACCAATTTATTTGAATTTGCCCAGAATAAGGCTATCTTAGTATAGCTTATGTGTCTTGTCACAGGCCAACATTATGCAAGGGATTATTTACCTAAATTCTAGTGGGGTAAAACACCAAATACTGTGAGATCTCTGTTAGCCAGAACAATTGGTGAAGAGCACTACCGTGAATGAATGAGTGTTTTCCCGTTAACGAGACAGTTATCACAAATCAAGAAAATATCCCTCATCCCCAGAATGTTTATGGTAATGGAAACATTTTCTCGGTAGTTCCTGCAATTGCCCATTACATCATCTCTCGAACCCAGAAATATATCCCCCATCTCACTGAAATTAGGCCGTCTCTTCTTGGCTGGTGGTCCTTCCATGTTTACAAAATAATATTACGTGCGTCGCTCTCAGCTGATTTCTCCTTCTCTTGTGATTGGTTGATGATTTTGTTAACTGAGCGTTGATTGGCCAACTAGCATCTGCACTGACATCTACCGTCCGACAAGAGAACTTAATTTACCGGGTAAACACTAGAGTTACGAGAACTTACGGAAGGCTTACGGAACCATAATTACATTTTGAGTTTGCTAAATTTATGGTAGTGTAAGGCTTCCACAATATATGGTACTGTATCATGCTGAAAAACGTAACTTATGAGGTGTTTTGAGTATCCGGCCCCTGATTATGGGCTCACTTACGGACACCGCTGCCAAATATTTGTTTTGAGTATACCGATCGGAAACTGTAAGTCCAGTTACGGGATAAACAAAGAGTCCTTTTGAGTATCCGGCCCCTGGCACATAACACCCACCAGCCTCCACAACAACAACACATCGTGAACCATAAATAACAACAATAACCACCGCAATAACGTCGACAAATAATCGAGTAATTGTGGCATTATTGTCTTAAGTAATAAACCCATAACATCTTTTAATTAACTAACAAGAAGCAAATTATTTCAGTAACAGTAGAGGTCAAGTGCAGTGCCACGACCCTCTCTCTCTCTCTCTCCCCTCACCCACGACCCTCTCTCTCTCTCTCCCCTCACCCGACCCTCTCTCTCTCTCTCTCCCCGACCCTCTCTCTCTCTCCCTCACCCACGACCCTCTCTCTCTCTCTCTCTCACCCACGACTTTCTCTCTCTCTCTCTCTCTCTCTCTCTCTCCTCTCTCTCTCTCTCTCTCTCTCTCTCTCTCTCTCTCTCTCTCTCCCCCTCCTCCTCTCTCTCTCTCTCTCCTCTCTCTCTCTCTCTCTCTCTCTCTCTCCTCACCCGACCCTCTCTCCCTCACGACCTCTCCTCTCCCCTCACCCCGACCCCTCTCTCACTCTTGCAGGAGTTCCCTCACCATTTCCTTGGGTACCCTTCTCCCTTTCACACCTCACCCCTGACCTTCCTCCCCAACCACCACACTCCCCACCCCCTGACTGCACTTCCTCCCCAACCACCACACTCCCCACCCCCTAACAACCTTCCTCCCCAACCACCACACCCCCTAACAACACTTCCTCCTAACCACCACACTCCCCACCCCTAACAACACTTCCTCCCCAGCCACCACTCCCACCCCTAACAACCTTCCTCCCCATCCCCCCATACAGGGTCACCCACTAAACTCTTCAACAAGCTGCAGTTTCCTCCACCCTCACCCCGCCACTTCCCCTATCTTTCTCCATCCACACCCCCAACCTCTCCCCCTCCTCCAACCTCACCCCTCCACACCTCAGCCTCCTCCTCCAGCCTCACCCCCCTCCACCTCAGC